TGACCCCCCTGGGTGATGTTCTGACCCCCCTGGGTGATGTTTTGACCCCCTGGGTGATGTTCTGACTCCCCTGGATGTTGTTCTGACCTCCTGGGTGATGTTCTGACCCCCTGGGTGATGTTCTGACTCCCCTTGGACGTTGTTCTGACCCCCTGGGTGATGTTCTGACTCCCCTTGGACGTGTTTCTGACCTCCTGGGACCGTGTTCTCACCCCCCTTGGATGTTGTTCTGTTCCCCCTTGGGGTGAAGTGCTGACCCCCCAGTGCTCCCCCATCCTCCCCGTTCTCCATCCCCAGCTCTGACCCTGCTGAAGCTGCCCATGACCCCTGAGCCCTCTCATTCCTGGTCTCCCTGGAGCTCCAGGGGCTGCTTTCCACGGCCCTTTTCCGCCTCTCTAAAGCCGCTCCAGCTCCCAGTGGGTCCCGTGGCCCGTTCCCGAGCCCCGAGCCCCCGGAGGGTGACCCCAGGAAAGGCGCCAGGCCCGCTGGAGCCCCGGAGCTGCCTTTTCAGCTGGAGTCACTGGAGATGCCGGCGGCCCCGCTGGCGTGTGCATACTAATGACCCGCAGGTTTTGTCCCAACTGTGGCCCCTTTGTACCAGCACCGGCTGGCACAAAGCGGCCCCCGGGGCGCCGGGATCGGCCCGGGGGAGCCAGCACAGCACATTTAATGCATTCAGGGCTCTGACAGTGCTGATAGAGGGCTTTCCCCCGGCCCTCTCCCCACTAAAACAGCCAGCTGGGCGCTTTTCCCGCAGCCCGGGTCCCAAACCCCAGCGAGCTGCCTGGAAAACAAGCGGGAGGGGAGACTCTGGGCTCAGCCTTGGGGCTCCCCTTGGAGGAGCCACGTTCCAGCTCCCCACCCCGGGGAAGGCAGCAATGAGCCCCAGATCTTTTGGAGTTCTTCCCTCCCTGGTTTCCTGCGTCCACCTTGGAGCCACATGCCAGGAGTGCCCGGGATTCCTGGGGCAGGGCAGGGAGGGGGGCCTGGGCCGGCCAGCCTGGCCTGAACACCAGGGGTATGTCCATATATTAAAAGTTTAGCCAAGCTCTGGTGTTGCCACAGGGTTTAACCCCTTGGGAGGGGGTTTAGGAGCTTCCACCAAGCATCAGTAGGGGCAGGAATGGCTCTGCTACCTTATTGCTTATGGAGCCTGAGGCTGGAGCTCTTCTGCCCTGAGATCACTGTTGGCTTTCTGGATGGGGCTGGTGGGGTTTGGCCTCTCCAGGGCATCCATATCCAGCTCAATGACAGTGCTTTGACCCCCATCAGCTACAGGGGTGTCAGGGGTGCACAGGAGAGTCAGGCCACAGCTCTGATAAAATTCCAAACGTTATGACAATAATTAAAACAATGCAATATATTTAAAAATGGGACAGTATCCCCATACCTGGGGGGTGGCTGCTCACCTTGGGGCTCTGGCAGGGTGAGGACCCTCCAAGCTGACTGGTTTTCCCTGTCCTTATCCTGCAGAGGACGGGGATTTCCTGGCACTGGACCTCGGTGGCACCAACTTTCGTGTGCTGAGGGTGAAGGTGTCGGACAATGGGCTGCAGAAGGTGGAGATGGAGAACCAGATCTACGCCATCCCCGAGGAGCTGATGCGGGGCAGTGGGGTGCAGGTGAGTCCAACCCCTCCTCACCCATCCCCAGGGTCACCCTGGGACCCCTAAATGTGTCCTGGGGTGGGAGCAGGGCTGGGCATCCCCCACTGCCTGGCCCAGCAGGATCCCAGTGGATCTCGTGCCAGGAGCAGGAATTCCTGACGGCCAGCGTGGGGATGGGTGAGGGTGGGCAGGGAGGTGGGCACAGCTTCCACTCATCCCCTCGCCATGGGAAGGTCTCACTCTTTCCCTTTTTTCCAGCTTTTCGACCACATCGCCGAGTGTTTGGCCAACTTCCTGGACAAGCTGAACATCAAGGACAAGAAACTCCCCCTTGGGTTCACCTTCTCCTTCCCCTGCCACCAGACCAAGCTGGATGAGGTGGGTGAGGGGCTGTGGTGGGACGGGCTGAGCTCTCGCTGGGGGTCCCACACCAATTTAGCTCAGGTGTTTAATTAGTCTCGCTGATTTTGGGTCATATGACCTTTCCTGGAGGGCCACATCTCTCATTCCAAGCCATTCCCAAGCTCTGGGTGAGAGGAGGTTAAGAACAGCACTGCCCCTTCTTTGTTATGAATATCTTTTGCTGGTGGAATGGCTCAGTGGCTGCACGGTCAGGGACAGAGAGGAGGGAACATTCCTCCAGGGAATGCCCTGCTTGGCATCTCTTCCCAATAACACTGTTGCTTCTCGTCTTCTCCAAACACACCAGAAAACCCCTGTGAAAAGGAACATCAATGTTTTCTAAGGATGAGGTGCCAGGTGCCTTTTTTAAAGCTGCTTGATGAGAGTGAGTCGTGGTGGGTCTCCTGTTTGAGACATCTTGGCCAGGGTTTCACTGGATCATGGAATGGTTTGGGCTGGAAGGGACCTTAAAGACCATCCAGCCCCACCCCCTGCCATGGGCAGGGACACCTTCCACTGTCCCAGTTTGCTGCAAACCCTGTCCAGCCTGTCCTTGGACACTTCCAGGGATCCAGGGGCAGCCACAGCTTCTCTGGGTAACGTGTCCCAGGGCCTGCCCACCCTCCCAGGGAGGAATTCTTTCTCGATATCCCATCTATGCCACCCTCTGTCAATGTGAAGCCATTCCCCCTTGTCCTGTCACTCCAGGCCCTTGTCCCCAGTCCCTCTCAGCTCTCTTGGAGTCCCTTTAGGCACTGGAAGGGGCTCTGTGGTCTCCCCAGAGCCTTCTGGATTTCTGAATTTTCTGGATTTTCCCTAATTTGTCTTGAGGGGTTTTCATCCATTACCCACCAGTGAGGCCCCTGTGATGGGCAGTTCCCGGGTCACCGTGTGTGCCAGCAGGGCTGGGCGCTGACGGAGCGGGGGATGCGCCCCCGGAATTGTGGGGATCTGGGATATGATGTTTCCATGGGAGATCAGCTTCTCCCAGAGCTGCAGCAGCCCTGGGCACCCAGCCATGCTGAGCACCCCATCCCCCTGTGTGCAGGGAGGGGGTTCCCCCGCTCTGCTCCAGGCTCTGAGCGCTGTCAGCTCCGCTCAGCCGCGCCGGCGCTCCCGCCCCGCCGGAGCCGTGACCTCGCTGGGAGACTCAACATCCCGGAGCCCAGCGAGGCACGTGGCCTCTTCCCTGCCACCCACCGCCTCGCAGGGCTCTGGCTCGTGGCGGGGAGGGAGGGGAATACTTTCCTTGCCCTTATCTCACCCGGCTTGGCGGTGGGATGGAAAGAGGGCGGCTCCATGGAGCGCTGGCGATCCAGCACGTCCTCCCTGCCGGTGGTGCCGCGGTGGGGCAAGGCTGCTGTGCCTGAGCCACTCTGCACAAGCACTGAGGGAGAAGAGGATTAACACTTTCCTCCCGGTAGACAGGGGGCTGTAAAAAAAAGAAATTAAAATGAAGCGGCTGCAGGAGGAAGTGTCTCTGTCCCCCTGGCCTTGTCAGGGTTGTGTCTGTTCATGCCTCAGTTTCCCCTTCCCTGAGGCAGGGGTGGTGTCAACCTCACTGAGGGGCCTGCGCCCGTAGTGTTGGAGATTCCAAGTGCAGTTGAGTCCTTTTCTTCTCCCCAAGGCTCAGCTCAGTCCCTGGCCAGGTGGCTGCAGTGGAGACAAACCTGGTGCCTCAGGCCATGGGGGGCTGCGAGCCCCCAACCCTGCAGGGATAGGTCAAGGAGCATTCCAAGGCCCCCACCCCTCAGGAGTGGGTCAAGGAGCATTCCGTGGACTTGTGAACAGGTTTTGCCCCAGGGTTCCATAAAATCTGGTCACAGGAACCACTTTCCCTCCTGCTGGGGAGCAACGAGCAGCTCTCGTGTTATTTCACTGCCATAAACCTTATCTGACACGGAAACGGGGGCTGATAGCCCAGCTGGTGAGCTGATAACGGGGAGCTCCCCCACAGGGAGTGTCCCTTGTTCTGGCAGCCCCCACAGGGTGGGGGTCTCACCCTGAACCTTCCCTCTGGCTGTTCCCCCCAGAGCATCCTCGTGACGTGGACAAAGGGGTTCAAGTGCAGCAGCGTGGAGGGCAAGGACGTGGTGTCGATGCTGCGCAAGTCCATCAAGAAAAGAGGGGTAAGAGGCTGGGCGGGTGTGTCACCTCCTGGGGCAGTGGGACGGGGGCACACAGATCCCTGGGACGGGGTTCCTGGGCTCCATGGAGATGTTTTGGTCTGTTTTGTCCGTGTTGGGTCACCCTCTCTCCTTTCCACCGTCTCAGGACTTTGACATCGACATCGTGGCCGTGGTGAACGACACTGTGGGGACCATGATGACCTGTGGCTATGACGACCACAACTGTGAAGTTGGCCTGATCGTTGGTGAGTGAGAACAAGCGGGTCCATCCCTCCAGGAGCTCCAGAGGGAGATCCTGTTCCTGGCAAGCTTCAGGGTCTTTTGGGGAAAAAAAAAGGCGGAGGGGGGATACCAGTGCTGGAAAACCAACTTTGCCCAATGTCTGTTTGCTTCCCTCTTCACTTTCTTTGGTGCATTGGGCCTGTGGCCAAGTGGGAATGAGGGATAATGGGAATGAGTGACAATGAGAATGAGTGACAATGGGAATGAGTGACAATGGGAATGAGGGATAATGGGAATGAGTGACAATGAGAATGAGGGATAACAGGAATGAAGGCAAGGCAGTGTCCTCGCTCACTGTGCCCCCATGCTTGGCCCAGGTACCGGTACCAACGCCTGCTACATGGAGGAGATGAGGCACATTGACCTGGTGGAAGGGGACGAGGGTCGGATGTGCATCAACATGGAGTGGGGGGCCTTCGGTGACGACGGCGTCCTCAACGACATCCGGACGGAGTTCGACCGTGAGATCGACATGGGCTCGCTCAACCCAGGCAAACAATTGTGAGCAGATTCTTGGCTCGGGCTGGGGCTCGTGGTTTAGCTCGGCATTGTCCGTCCTCCCGTTGCGCCGGCGTTCCCGGGAGCGGGGAGGTCATCCTGGCTAACTGGGTCACCATGTCCTCTGCCACCGGTGCGGAGAGGGGCTGTGTCACGGATCGGGGCTGTCCATCCTGAGCCGCTCACGGGAACGTGCTGATTGCTGTTCCCTTCTCCAGTCATCTGCCGGCCCAGGCAAACACCCCCACCTAATGTCCACATCCCAATCCTACAGATCTCCCGTTCTGGCAGTGTGGGGGGACTCTGCAAACTGACTCGACCCCCTTCAGGTGTCCACGAGTTGTCCTTGCAGGATGATGGTCGTGTCCACAAGGCTTCATATTCTCAGTGATGGGATAAGCTGCTCTGGGAGGGGATTACCTAGATTCCATTTGGGACTGGGAGGCTGCCAGCGGGTTTTCAGGTCAACCTGTGGCCACCTTGTGGCACGCGCAGCCAAACGCACACATTGTTTAGCCTGGAGAAAAGGAGGCTCAGGGGGGATCTTACTGGGGGGTTTAGGATGGATATTAGGGGAAATTTCTTCTCTGAAAGGATGGTCAGGTGTGGAACGTGCTGCCCAGGTGGTGTCACCATCTCTGGGGGGACTCAAAAGCCACGTGGATGTGGCACCTGGGGACACGGGTTAGTGCTGGCCTTGGCAGTGCTGGGGGAATGGTTGGATATGATGACCTTGGAGGGCTTTTCCAACCCAAACCGTTCCGTGATTCTATCTCGTGCCTCTCCCCGGGCAGGTTTGAGAAGATGATCAGTGGGATGTACATGGGAGAGCTGGTCAGACTCATCCTGGTGAAGATGACCAAGGAAGGGCTGCTGTTTGGGGGAAAGCTCACACCAGACCTGCTCACTACTGGCCACTTTGAGACCAGATATGTCTCTGCCATTGAGAAGTAAGTAGGACCTGTGAGGTTTCCTGGGTCCCAGCCCACCTCCTGATACCCCTGCTGCACAAATCCGGACTGTCACACGGCAGAGGTCGGATTTCCGGGCGTGAACCCTTCCTTTGCCCCCCACCAGGGAGAAGGAAGGGCTGCAGAAAGCCCACGAGATCCTGAGCAAGCTGGGCCTGGAGCCGTCGCACGAGGACTGCGTGGCCACGCTGCGCATCTGCCAGATCGTGTCGACGCGCTCGGCCAGCCTGTGCGGGGCCACGCTGGCCGCCGTGCTGCGCCGCATCAAGGACAACAAGGGCGTGGAGCGCCTGCGCTCCACCGTGGGCGTGGACGGCTCCGTCTACAAGAAGCACCCGCAGTGAGTGGGGGATGGTGGGCACGGGGATGGTGGGCACGGGGATGGTGGGCACGGATCCGCTCCGGCTCGGCGGGAGCGGAGCATCTCCGAGCGTCCCCCCGAGCACCTCTGCGGGTCCCCTGAGGGCCACTGCCCACGGTGGCACACTCAGGACCCTTTTCCTCTGGCAGCTTTGCCCGGCGCCTCCACAAGACGGTGAGGAAGCTGCTGCCCGACTGCGAGATCCGGTTCATCCGCTCGGAGGATGGGAGCGGCAAAGGGGCGGCCATGGTGACGGCCGTGGCCTACAGGCTGGACGCCCAGCACAAGGCCCGGCAGAAGATCCTGGAGCCCTTCAAGCTGAGCCATGAGCAGCTGCTGGAGGTGAAGGAGAGGATGAGGATAGAGATGGAGAAAGGGCTGGGCAAGGAGACGCACGAGGAGGCGACGGTGAAAATGCTGCCCACCTACGTGTGCTCAACTCCAGACGGGACAGGTGACTATCCTGCATGTGTCCTGTGTGTGAGCCCACGTGTGTCCAGCTCAGAGCCAGCATTG